CACACACACACACACACACACACACAAAATTTAAAAATGTAAAAAATAAATAAAATTTTAAAAAATATATACATATATAAAGAATGATTCCTCTAAAAGTACATACATTTCTAATGCCCAGCACATAGCAGAGCAATTTAACCATTACACTTGGTCATTATCACAAGATCACTAAGGAGAGTCCTAGAATCACCACTAATTACTTTCAGCTGCCAGTGGTGGCCCTTTGAAAATCAGTGGCTATGCTGTTTACAAAGTAACAACGACAAACCCCATCCCTGGGAAAATGAAGACTGGGCATAAGATCCCCCTAATAGTTGGAATGAGGCCTCAGGTTGGTCTGATCCTGTTAGAGCCTTCTTCCATTTCTAGATGACTTAGAAGTCAGAATACATAAGGCAGCCTTATACCTACTTTATTCTAGAAACACCCCTACATCTAACCCACCTACAGGTACACTGGTCTTTACAAAGTCCCACCTAGGATGCAGAAAGTGTGGGCTGTGGATCTGTAATAGACTTCTCATCCTTCTAGTCTAGAGTCAGGCACAATAAGCAAAGGCTGGAAATCCAATCTACCTTAGAACTTAATCCACTCATAATGGTCTCCAAGTTCTTGAAAAAAGCTAGTTTTACCCCAGGAAACATCCACATGGTCACATAGTATGCTAGTGGGACAGATCTTGACCAGATATAGGAACTGTGCCAGAACATTAAAATACTTTATTTACATCCAGCCACCCCACCACAGTCAACACCAAATACCTTTGGGTCATCAGCCTCAGGTTTTTCAGTCTCTGAATCGTCATCTTCCTACAAGACAAAGAATTTAGAAGATTAAGCTTAAAGAGTGGGCCTGAGGGGTCTCACATGCACATCCAGAGGTTGGAGCAAAAGGCATTTACCCAGCCAGCGCATCCCATCAAGAACCCCTCCCCTATGCCACAGGACCCAGAACTAAGAAAGAGAAGGAGGAAAGGAGATGTTCTGAGGGGGGGAAAAAAATTGGCCGCTCAGTCAGTGGTCAGTCCACACCAAGAAAGCCAGAGGTAAAAATCACATAAAAAGGAGAGAGAAAATACAATCTGCTTCAGCAAAAAGACCAGGTCACATGGTATAACAGGTATAGCGCGTTCACCGAAATATCATATCACTTATTTAGAACCAGGATTATGTACCTTTGTTCTCCTTCACTGAGTTTCGTACCCACAAATACAACAGACTTAAACCTACCGTGACACTATTCAAAACATTAGTACTGTGACTCACAGGCACCTACACGTCAGCATTTTGACTCAGTGTCATTGACACTGATATGAACACAGTGAGGTGGTCAACAAATGACCAGAACAAGTGGCCCAGGAAAGGCAGGGCTTAAGAGCAATGCACAGTTTTTCCGGGACTCCAACTGGGTGGGTTCTGCCCCTACCTGAGTGCTCATATTATTGCCACTAGTCCACCCAACCTGTTGCTTAGCTAAATGAGACCAGCCTGACTCAAAGCACCATGTGGCTAAGGCATTTTCTAAAGGGAGCCCTCCATTCCACTAAACAGTAATGTTAATGCAATAAAGCTCAAAATTTCAGGAGTAGATGCTGGACCAATACTCTCTTAGCTAGCTAAACCCACATCGCTTCTATCACCTGCTGCATTCCTCATGTGCAGAAGCCTTTAACTAAATGCCCAAGAACACCTAACTTCATTTGAAACTATTATTTTCCAGAAAGTTACACTTTAACCCAAACATGACACAGCACTCCAGATGTTAACATAAACAGCATCAGAGAGAGAGAATAAGGTATACTCGTGATTTTGAGACTTAATTGCCCTCTAAAGTGCTAGTGAAACAAAGGCTTTGGATGCACTCTCCATTATCTCCTTAAAATGAAATCAATCAGCCAAATAATTAGATACAGCTCAGCTACATGTAATCACATTTCAGAATATCTATATGGGATATAAGAGGATTTTACTAAAATATGAGATAAAAGCTGGGTGTGGTGGCGCATGTCTGTAATCTTAGCACTCAAGAGGCTGAGGAAGAAGGAATGCTGTAAAGTCAAGGCCAGCCTAGGCTACACTGTGAGTTCATGGCCATCCTGAACTTACATAGTGAGACCCTGTCTTAAAAAACAAATAACCAAACAAACAAATGAAAACTCTAACAAGCCAAATATGGGAACATTTCAAAAGTACACATTATGCAAAAGTATTAAAGAAAAATTATGGATACTAAAACAAGTATGTACTTGAGAAAAGTCAGGAAAAGAAATTACAAACCTCTTCTATAGAATTTCAGGCAACTCTGCATTAACAACATTAAAGAGTAGGGCTGAAGGACTGAGGAGATAGCTTGGTAGTCTAAGTGCCGGCCTGGCAAGTGCAAGGACCCGGGCTGATCCCCGGTACCACATGTCATGCTGGTCCTGGAACTCCGGGCATATCATGCTGATGCTGAAACCAGGTGTGGTGGCATATGCCTATAATTCCAGAGTTGGGGAGGCTGAGACAGGAGGATCACCACGAGTCTGAGCTGTGTAGTGAGACCCTGTACCAAATAAAGGCCGGTCTGGCAAATACAAGGTCCTGAGTTCAATCCCCCATACCAAAAAAAGTATCTCATGAAAAAACAAAATATAGGGCTGGTGAGATGGCTCAGTGGTCTAAAGCACCTACTTAGAACAAGCTAAGCTAAGCAAAGCACAGGGACCGCGGTTCAATCCCCCAGCACCACATGCCAGCCAGCCCTGCCCCCTGGTGGGCTGAGCTGGCCACACACACAAAATAAATAAATTAAAAAAAAAATATATATATATATATATATTTCTGAGCTCCATGTGGTATGTCTGTACTTCTAGTTGGTCAGAAAGCTAATTGAGACCCTGGCTCAAAATTTTAAAAAGGGCTGGGTATTCAGTGGTTCAGTGCTTGCTTAATAAGCATAAGGCCCTAGGTCTAATCCCTCAGCACCCAAAACAACCCCAAAATGTTTTTGTTTAATTTGGAACACCTTCCACTGTGTTTGTCCCTGGGAATTAGATACTGGGTTTTGTGCTATGAGAGAGCTCTACCAGTGAGCTATACCTACAGTCCCGATCTGGAAAGCACTTTAATGCCAATGTTTACAATTTAACATGCAACAAAATTTTCAAACAAATAATAAAATACCTTGTGAGTGTTTCAATTAAAACTGCTGCAGCTGGCCCTGGTGGTGCACACCTATAATCCCAGCATTCAGGAGGCTGGGGCAGGTTCATGGTCAACTGGAACTACATAGTGAGACCTTGTCTCAAACAAAGAACAACAACAACTGTTGCAAAATAGCCAGGTTCATATCTATGCATGTGTTTGTGCTAAGGACTAGCCTGAATTTTTCCTTTTTCTTCAGACTTCTGGCTCTTGCTGCTCAGGTGATTGTGAGCCTAAGTCCTTCTTGTTAATAGGAAAAGAAATTCTCCTTTTTTTTTTTTTTTGTTACCCAGCACCTACTTAACTTTGGAGAAGAATTTGTGATCGAAACCTGGGAACTGGCTGGGTAGATGGCTCAGCATTCTAAGTGCCTGCCTGGCAAGTACAAGGACCCGGATTCAATTCCTGGTACCACATGCCATGCCAGCCCAGCACTGAGCTGGCCACCAAAACCGGGCGTGGTGGTGCACACCTGTAATCCCAGTGCTGGGGAGGCTGAGATAGAAGGATCACTATAAGTTTGGGTTGTATAACAAGACCTTGTACCAAATAAATAAATGATTGGGGAAAAAAAAAAAAAGAACCAGGGAAATCTGATAAAAGTGTCAAAAGTGTCAAGTGAAATGTCAAGAATAAAGTAAAAGGGGCTGGGGAGATGGCTCAGTGGAATAAGCGCTTCCATGGCAAGTGCAAGGGCCTGAGTTCAATCCCCAGCTCCGAATTAAAAAAAAAAAAAAAAGAATAAAGTTAAAGATCAAAGTAGATGAAAGAAAATAATTTTCCTTCCTTATTTCCTCAATAAACCTAAGTATTTGGATGACTCCCATGAAAGATGAAAGATAATACAGAGTTGACTATAAATTTATATGAAACACCTATTAGGATGAACACAGTTAAAAATGGAATAAACTGCTTAAATAGGGAAAACATAAAACATCCACTGATAATGTGGTTAAATAAAATAATCTACCATCTTGCCTCACAAATTTCAATTCAAAAGTTCACACAAAATGATCTAGGTGAAAGTAAGTGCAATTTTCAAATGTAGTAGCACTACTGACGTTCAACCCACACAAATGAGGGAAAGGGATTAAAGTAGTTATGAAATGGAATGCTATTGGCTCAGTTCTTTTTTTTTTTTTTCTTTTTGTGACAGGTCTTGCTATGTAGTTCAGGCTGCCTTAGAGCCCAAGCTGGCCTCGAAATCACAGCGATTCTCCTGCCTCAGCCTCTTGAGTACTGGGATTACAGGCATATATCACCACCCCTAACTGTTGGCCCAGTTCAAAACCTTCTGATAAATGAAGTGGTGTTTTGAGCAGTTTTGGATTTGGCAGATTCACCTACCGACTGTTTGCTGTTCTCATCTTCCTCTTCTTCATAACCATCTTCATCACCTCCTAGACGAGAAAAGTCATCCTCTCCATAGGCATCAGATACCAACCCACTTTTCTCTTCTGAAACACAGGAGGAAAAACAACAAAAATGTAAGAAAATTTTCCAGTGATTTGAGCAGTGAGAAGTATTTCTGAAGATAAAAGCCCAACCTAAACCTCATTAAGTGACCTCAGGCCCAGATTCTGCCTTTCACAAGGACATATTTTGGTGGGTAAAACTATTAAAAGAATAGAAAAAAAGCTGGCTGTGGTGGTGCACACCTGTAACTGCAACACTCTAGGAGGCTGAGGCAGGATGATTGGAAGTTCAAGCCCAGCACTGAACAGATAACAAAATAAAAACTGAAGTTGTCAATCTCCTTATTACTCCAGTGGAAGCCTTCCATCTTTGAATGATCAAAGCATGTTCCCTGAACACCTTTTTTTTGACACACGCACATCTCTAACTGGTACTATAGATATCTATGAAGTTATCTCTACTAGGAGACAAAGACTACTCATTTTTATTCTGAAGGCCCTCACTTGTCCCAAAAGGAAACTCTGGCCCAGATACATTAGATAATGTGCTCTACCACTCCAAAAAAATCTCTTCCCATTCTAACACTGTCAAATTTAGGTGGGTAACAAAATTACTAATAGTTCATTTTCTGTTTATATGTTTGTTTGCGGAACCGGGGATTGAACTCAGGCCCTTATGCTTGCCAGGGAAGTGCTTATTCCACTGAGCCATCTCTCCGGCCCTGTTTATATGTTTTTGAGACAAGGTTTCACTATGTAGCTCAGGCTAACATTGAATTCACTATGTAGCTCCAACTCGTATCCATCGTCTTGCTTCAGTCTCCTGAGTGCTGGGATCACAAGTATGCACCACCATGCTTGGCTATTTAATTTTATTTATTTATTCATTTGCGGAACCGCGGCACGCTTGGCTACTGATGAGCTTTAAAAGTTCACAAAGTAACAAAACGACCTAAAAGCCTTAAGTAACTCACAAATGTCCACAGTCTATCCCAGATGTAGAAGTTTACTCCTGCTAAAGAACAAGCCAGAAGCTCCTAGATGTGTTTAGGATACATTACAAATTAAGAGCTATTAATATTTTTTCGGTACCGGGGATTGAACTTAGACCCTTGCACTTGCCAGGCAAGCACTTATTCTACTGAGCTATCTTCCCGGCCCCTTAAAAACTATTAATTTAATAAGACAAACTTTATCATCCATCACATATGTTCCACTCATCTCTCTACCTATCACGCAACTAGTCGAAGGCAATAGGTTGCGACATTGCAGGACTAGATCCTATGCTCCAGTCCATCAGCTTCTCAAGAAATTTCAGTAAAAATAGAAACACAGGGAGAAGACTCATTCTTACTATAAATCCCCTAATATTATATGTAAGCCAGGACGACCTCGACTGCGTTTCGGGGTTCGAGGGCTCGATACGTTGGCACAATGAACGTCTCTTTCCCGATAGTACAATAAGAGAGCATTATTCTGGGCAGACAATCGATTCCCTTTTCCACTTCCCACTCGAGTCTCACCAGCCGCGCTGCCGACAGCTTCAACTCCAGTCTCGCCATCGGACTCAGGCTCTGAATCTTCCGCGTAAACTGCCAAAGACGACAAAACATTCCTCTTCCCCGCCATTTTATATCCCACAGCCCCAGCGTGGCTCACACCTATGACTCAAGAGGCCTTCTGAATGCAACGGCAACTCCTTCCGGATCTCAGGAGGCGCAAACGTCACACGGAAGGCCAATCAAAACGTCCGCTTTTGAGTTTGGCCCGCCTCTCCTGCCGCGCTCGGCAACGTCATCTTTGCGCGACGAATAGAAGGCTCAGTGATTTTCTCCTGACTGGAGTTCTCTGCAGCTTGGTTTCTGGGTCGAGGGTGCTGTACAGGAGTCTTGGCGTAGTGGGAGAACCAGGACACAGCAGCGGCTCGGCCAGAGCCCTTTGTTGGGCGGCCCAGAGGCTGACTCTGATATCTTGGGGACAAAGAGAGAGATTCTTCGGTAGTGAAGGGAGAAAACTGAACGTGGGGCTAAAGAGGAAGGAGAGTGAAGGGGGTTGGGACCCAAAAGGACGGCGAGGGACATGAATGGTCGTCGCCGACTGCGCGTATAGAAGTTGGATCTTAGAAAAAACGATTCTCTGTTCTCCAAACTATTCCGAAGATATTTCTGTTTCTTCTCGTAATCTGATTTCTAACTGGTATACTATAGCTTTGGGTAGCTCAGTGTTCTTGTTTTCACTTAGCGTAAAAGTGAGGCTGTTAATCTCTCAGGAATATCTTGCTGGAGGCAATTCGTCTGCCGCTTTTACTACTTGAAACAAATATATTGCACTTCAGCAATATAGCAAACATATTTGCAGAAGAAAAATTAAGCTGTATTTAAATAACAAAACAGGGTTCTCGTGCCAGTCTTTCGCCACCTTTGCTTTAACTTTTGGCCACTGCTTTTCGCTAAGATGAGCACACGCCCTTCCACCCCCTCTGACCCTGAGCGGCGAGTCCGGAGCGAGCTGAAGAAGGTCTTTGGGTTTGACTCTTTTAAGACGCCTTTACAGGAGAGGGCGACCATGGCTGTAGTAAAAGGTAACATTATCAAACTCCCTGCCTTTATATTTCTGTTGGCTGTACCGTAGCACTGCGGCACAACACCCTTCTTCCTACCGTCTCACCCTTTGTCCATAACTGGTTTTGGAAATCTTTTAGACTTGTCAACCAAAGTTTACTTTTTTAATTTGCGGTATTGGGGATTGAATTGAGGACCTTCTCACTGAGCTACACCCTTAGCCTTTCTTCAGATTGTCACATTGCCCAGAATGAATTAGAACTTGAGATCCTTTTCTTATTTCCAGAGTCCTGGGATTACAGGTGTGTGTTATCCGCCAGGCTAAACTTGCTGTTTGAATGGCAGAATCACTCAGCTATTCTAGTTCTTTTCATAGCCAGACCTACAAATTGTCTTTGTAAAATGGTTCTTACATTCTCATTTTTGTTTGTTTCTGTATGGGCAGTTGGGGGTGGCAGTTAATAGTCTAAACTACCCATTGGCCTAGGGAATCCCCTTAATGAAGATTGAGTGGCCTGAATTACAGATGGGGAAGAAAGTAAGAATATTTTAAGCTAGAGATGTGGTGACCAGTGAAGATTGTTGTCCAGAAGTCATATAATATTAGTGATAGGTTTGTAAACAAAAGATCTCTAAGTGATGTCCTTGCGTATCTACACAGATGTGCCCTCAGCCTATCAATATTCTGCTTTCATCTACCCATATCCTACACTTAGACTTCTTACTCTTTTTACTGACATTACCAGAAGTAGTTTGCACACATTTCCAAATCTTCCAGGATCCCTTTCCATTTCATATAAAGAATGGAAAGGAATTTAACATGATACTAAGACCCTCTCAAGTGTCAGGCACTGCTGGGTCCTTTTCTTACATTCTTGTTTAACTTTCAAGGATCTTAATGAGGGACTGGTGAGATGGCTCAGTGATCTAAAGCACCTACTTAGAACAAGCTTAGCAAAGCACAAGGACTGCGGTTCAATCCCCCAGCACCACATGCCAGCCAGCCCTGCCCCCAGGTGGGCTGAGCTGGCCACACATACACACACACAAAATAAATAAATAATTTTTTTTAAACGTCATTTAAAAAAATCAGTCTTAATGAAAAGACAAGAAGCAATGAGATATTCTATTTTTTTTGCAGGTGACAAAGATGTCTTTGTGTGTATGCCCACGGGGGCTGGAAAATCCCTTTGCTATCAGCTACCTGCACTATTGGCCAAAGGCATCACCATTGTAGTCTCTCCTCTCCTTGCGTTGATTCAGGTGAGGTTAGGAAAATGAAGATAGTAACTCAAAAAGTTGATGTTTGATCTTTCCTGACTTTTCTCTGACTTGTCTTTGTGATCTCTATGGTAGATGTCTGAATTGCCCAATTATAGGTTTCTCCACTAGTGTGTATCACTTTGTGGTTCATGAATGATTGTTCTATGCTTTGATCACCTGATATTCCTTATCCTCCTTTGTTTTTTTGTCCAGAGGAGTATGGAACAGGATCTGTACGTACACAAACTTGCTCTCACATGTACACACATGTGCACTCATGATGTTAGAAGATGCAAGTGGATGGATAACTAAATTGATATGCAGAATCTCTGATGACTTGTTTTATTTTGGCAAGAGAGCAAGTACAGACACAGATGAAAAATTGTTTGAGATCTTTATTATTTTTGTGTGTTTTTTGAGACAGGGTTTCATTATGCAGTTCAGGCTGGCCTTGGACTCACTTTGTAGCTTAGGGTGACCTTGAACTCACAGCAATTCTTCTGCTTCAGCCTCTTAGTGCTGAGATTACAGGGGTGACTACCATACCTAGCCTGAGATCTTTTTTTTTTTTTTTTTTGGTGGAACTGGGGATTGAACTCAGGCCCTTGCACTTCACTTGCCAGGGAAGAGCTTATTCCACTGAGCCATCTCCCCGGCCCCCTCAGCCTGAGATCTTATTAACATCTGCTCTGCCTATATTTAGTGCCTGCCAATGGGCTTATAGAATTAGAATTGAGGAAGTACTGAGGGCCAATCAGACCTTCAGATATAGACAAATTTCAGCATACAAGGGGGACCAGGAAGAGTTTACCTCTGGTGGACTGGTTGGGCTACCTCTCTGGTTGGCTGGCTTTTATTGGCTAATAAGAAGTGCAGTGAGAGGGATAACACTGGATCATAGAAGAGTAATTATAGAAAATGGGTAGATAAGGATTAAGTTAATGAAGAACCAGGTTTTTCTATAAACCCAAATGTCTATATTTTGACAATTGTCCTCAGCAGTTGCTATCTTGACTCACGAGTTTGGGGTTATTACCATTCCAGCCATGGCTGGGGACATGTGGGCTTTGTATACCTCTCTGTTCCTAAAACAAGGTCACACTGACCTGAGGACTGTGGCGGGGGGGTTAAATGGTTGAGCTCCCATAATCTGTCACATAGCCTGGTACCTAAAAAGGAAGTATGGCCGTGTGATTAAGACCTCAGAAAAAGGTAGACTGATGGGGAATAATGAATGCTAATTAGATCTTAAACATTGTGCTAAGTGCTTTAGATACCACTTTTGAGATATAAAGTTTCCTATAACTCTTATCACAATTCTGTTAGTTACTATGTTTATAGTAGGTTGTAAGAAAAACTGAGTCTTGGATTAAGAAACAGCCAGGAAGCCCATGGCAATTAAGAGGACAGAGTCTATCCTCTTAATTATTTCATGTTCCATACAGAGGATACATATAGGAGGGTAAAATGAAGATGTTTTATGACTGGAAAATCTCTAAGGGTGTGGTAATGACTTCTACCACTGGTTCTTGAAAGCCAGTTATACCCCTCTCTGGGCTCATTCTCTTCTGCTCTCAGGATCAGGTGGATCACTTGCTGGCCCTGAAGATACAAGTGAGTTCTCTGAGCTCGAAGCTATCAGTGCAGGAGAGGAAGGAGCTGCTTTCAGACCTAGAGCGAGAAAAGCCACAGACCAGGCTTCTGTACATTACCCCAGAGATGGCCGCTTCCACCTCCTTCCAGCCCATCCTGAATTCCCTTGTGTCCCGCCACCTGCTTTCTTATTTGGTGGTGGATGAAGCTCACTGTGTTTCCCAGTGGGGGCATGACTTCCGTCCTGACTACTTGCGTCTAGGTGCCCTGCGCTCTCGCCTGGCACATGCCCCATGTGTGGCTTTAACTGCCACAGCCACCCCACAGGTCCAGGAGGATGTGTTTGCTGCACTGCATCTGAAGCAACCAGTTGCCACTTTCAAGACTCCCTGCTTCCGGGCCAATCTCTTCTATGATGTGCAGTTTAAGGAACTGATTTCTGATCCTTATGGGAATTTGAGGGACTTCTGCCTTAAAGCTCTTGGACAGAAGACGAATAAAGAGGTGAGGCAGTGGGGGTAGGGTGGGGGACTGCTGGTTGGCTGGCAAGGTGCTCTCTAGCATAAACACGCTATTGGTGTTTGAAGACCTTCACTTTTCCTAGCTTCATTACCCAGGTTTCCTAAAGTTTGTACAGAAAGAGAATTGTCTCTATTACCTGGCATTGTCCTCTTCACTGAGGTACCTTTGTCCTATTTCCTTGCATGAAAGGCAAGTGGGCAGTTTGTGTGAGCGCTTTGGAGACCTGTATAAGGTTTTCAGAAAGAAGGGAGAGGAGTTAAGGAGGTTAGATTTTAAGCTGCTTTGGTCCTACTTTTTATAAAGTGCCAGGGCTCTGCTGAGTGACCTGCCTCAGAGGAGACTGGGAGGTTGACAAGAGAAAGCAAGAGCTTTTTTTGTAGCAGGCCATGCAGTAGTAGATTGATGACTTTCTCTCTTCTCATGCTTGTTTTCTTCCCACGTCTCCCTGTTTAGTTGTTTGGCTGCGGCATTGTCTACTGCAGAACTAGAGAGTCTTGTGAACAGCTGGCCATAGAGCTCAGTAGCAGGGGTGTGAATGCCAAGGCTTATCATGCAGGTAAGCCCTCATGGTCCTCACTTTGGAGGCCACTTAGTGGTCTCTTATGGAACCTGGACAATCAAACAGCTTGTTATCTTTTTCCAGTTACTCATATAGAGCTAAAATGATTCACTTAAACTGAGGAGTCTAGACATGAATGAGGTCTAGAATTCAGTGACTTCTGAGTTCTTTTTTCCCCATTCTGTGCCCACTCAACAGCAGATGATAAGTTTGTTTTGGTTTTTGGGTTTTTTTTTTTGGCAGAACAAGGGATTGAACTCAGGACCTTGCCAGGCAAGCGCTTATTCTACTGAGCCATCTCCCCGGCCCCAAAAAGTGCAACTGTGATAAGTTTTTATAAACCTAAGTATTATAGAAACCTAGATTGAAAGAGGGCAGACTTTGGAGGTTAATGGACTTGAGTGTTAATATTGGCTTTAACATTTACTGAATACTCTGTGCTTCATATGGGCTATTGGCTAAGGCTCCATGTGGGTAATTATCTGGCCCACGGTCAAACAGCTGGGAAGAGATGGGCTCAGGGTACTGTAAAGTACCTAGTATAGTGTTAAACAGAATAGAAACCCCAGAGGGTAAACTCATGGGAAATGTGTGTTCCCTTTTCCACCTTCCCTTCTTTTCCAGGGCTGAAGGCTTCTGATAGGACACAGGTACAGAATGAGTGGATGGAGGAGAAGGTCCCTGTAATTGTTGCAACCATCAGTTTTGGGATGGGAGTGGACAAAGCTAATGTCAGGTGAGTTCTGGTTCTTGCTTTACCTTCTGATTGGGGACTGGCTTAAGGGTTGCCTACAGTGCTCTGCACAAAGGACATGTCCTCTGTCTAGTGCTAGAGGAGAGAAGCTCCAGAAGAGAGTCCCCAGTACACAGCTCCAACACTGACAGTTTCTATATGGCCTATCCCAGGTGACTGCGTAGCATAGTTCCACTATCCTCAAGAAAGGGGGCAGCAGATGGGTATGGCAGCATGCATCCTGTAATCGCAGAACTTACGAAACCTGGTCTCAAAAGACCAAAAAAAGGTGGAGGGGCAGCAAAGATCTTATCACTATCATCCTTGTTACTGCCTGTTGACAGTCTAGAAAAGTGTGGGTTCATCCCAGTCTGCTAGCCCTGCTTTGGCAACTGTCATGAAATCTTTTACCTCCAACCATGATCCTGTCATGCTTCACAGTGACCCTAGGTAGGACTATGTCAGTACACTACATTTGAAAGAGTAAGAGCACACGTGATTTTTTTTATTCTTTTGTGGGGGGTGGCAGGGTCTCACTATGTATCTCAGACCTTGAACTCATTGTGTAGACCAGCTTGGCCTAGAACTCAAGGTAATCCTCTTGCCTTGTCTCCTAAGTGCTGGGATTATAGGCATGTGTCACCATGCATGGCAGGAATGTGTTTCAAGATATCCAGAACAATCTACAGCTAAATTATTAGGCATTATAAGTGGTTAGATATAAAATAAACAGATAGCTAGGTGTGGTGTTGTACACCTGTAGTCCCAGCACTTGGAAGGATGAGGTAGGAGGATCCCCACAAGGCCAACCTGTGAGGCTACAAAACGAGGCTACATAGTAAGTTGAAGGCCAGCCTAAACTGCATAGTGAGACTTTCAAGAAACCAAGCCATGCGAGGTGTGGTTACACACATCTATAATCCTAGCATTCAGAAGACAGACAGGCAGGTTCAAGGCCAGCCTGAACTGCATAGTGAGACTCTGGCTTAAACAAACAAACAGAAAAATAAATGCACTTCTCTGAATCTCAAGTTCATCATCCATAGAACTTTATTTATTTATTTATTTATTTATTTATTTTGAAGTTTAGTGTTTATTTCACCAGAACTTTGGCTGTAAGTTTGTTGGATTCCCCATATGTACTGGAGTTGCTCTCTGAACTCCTGCAGTGCCTTCTAAGCTAAGCAGCTCCAGGGCAACAGACCTGCCAGTGGGTTGCAAGTGTCTGAATCAGCTTACTCCATCATCATCTCTTTCTCCCTGAGTGTTAGCCTCCCTGTGCCTGGCTACTATGAAGAAAGCCCTGATCTACTGACAGAATCACTCCTTCACAGCACACTCAGCTCTTCTTTTGTATCTCATGCTGCTTGTCATTTTGGCTCCTATAGATTTGTTGCCCACTGGAATATTGCCAAGTCGATGGCTGGATACTACCAAGAGTCTGGCCGGGCTGGCAGGGATGGGAAGCCTTCTTGGTGCCGTCTCTATTACTCTCGGAATGACCGGGACCAAGTCAGCTTTCTAATCAGGAAGGAAATAGCAAAACTCCAGGTAAGTCTTGGGCAGTAGAAACCCTGCCTGTCTGACCCTTCTACTTTCGAATTTTGTGCTGTTATTTTCAAGTGCAGATAGGGCTTCTGTAAATTTGGAGACGGTACTCCTGGCCTGCAAGGTAGGATGTAGTGTGCAGGGTGCACAGGCAGTTGGAACAAGTTAGGTTAGACTTTTTTTTTCAGCACTGAAGATTAAACTCAGGTCTATTGCACTGAGCTGCTTCCCAAGTTCCTTATCCTCTTATTTTGCCCATACTGGTCTTAAACTGCACTGGTCCTCCTGCCTCAGCCTCCCAGAGTACTGGAATTCTGGGAGTGTTCTACCACTTTTGGCTGACTTATTTTCTTTATAAATGTTTAAATTATCTGATTTTTTTTTTCCCTCAGTACTGGGGATTGAACTTAGAACTTAGCATTTGCCATGTAAGTGCTTATTCTACTGAGCTATCTTTTTCTTTTTTTTTTTTTCTACTTAGCTATCTTCCCAGCCCCAAATATCTGAATAGTATCTGGTGTGTAAACTAATTTGCCTTGTTTTAGTGAGCATTATTGTGTATTTTCCCATTATACATTGTGAAGTACTGGGGATTGAAGCTAGGGCCTCACATGTGTTCAGCAAGTACTCCACTAAGTGATAGCCTGAGCCTTTTTTGTTTTAATCTTTAAAAAAATTTTTTTTTTAATTTATTAGTACATGTCTTTAGTATGTAATGATTACAATTCATCATGGAAACTTGGTATAAATGTATATAATACAGCTTATTTATCTTTTTTATTTTATTTTTTTCATGTGTTTAGTACAGCGTCTATAGGGTCTCACTACACAGAATGGACTTGTGATCCTTCCTGTTTTTCAGCTTCCCAAGCCCTGGGATAACAGACCTGCATCACCACGCCCAGTCTCAGTCACTGTCTCAGTGTGCCCCAGGGACTGGGCTGGCACCACAGGCTGGGGATAGGACCCCTGGCCCCTGTGTCTGCCTAAGCAGGTACTTTAATCCACTGAGCTGTCTGGCCGACCCTAGCTTATTTATCTTTTAACTTTCCTTCCACTTAAAAATCTTTGTGAATAGGGCTGGCCAGGCCAAATAACTCAGCAGATTAAAGCACCTGCTTAGGCAGACGCAGCAGCTGGGCAGCAGCTGGGCTTCAAAAAGATTTCCAATCTGCCGTGCCAGCCCTGCCCCCAGGGCACACAAAGATAGCGATTGAGACTGGGTGCGGTGGTGCATTCCTGTAATCCCAGCTCTTGGGAGACTGAAAACAGGAGGATCACTAGGAGTCTGTTCTATGTAGTGAGACCCTGTAGACCCTGTAGACTTTCTAAAAAAAAAATTAAAAAATCTTTGTATATAAGGAAGCATGAAAAAATGAGTCCATGTTAGGGGAGATATTTGCTTTATACAAAGAGCAGCATTTTTGTAATCACAGTTACTGGAGAGGTTTGAGAGGAGGAGTGCAAGTTTGAGGTTAGCCTGAGCAATTTAGTGAGACTCACAAAATTTAAAAAATGACTGGTAGCGTAGTGTAATATGGCTAGTGTCAAGCAGGTGTTCCATTCTCAGCACTAAGAAAAGAAGAAGATAAAACAACCAAATCACACAAAGTATGAATAGGCATTTCATAGAAGAAACTAGAATATTTAATCAATATATTGACAGATGCTCACCCTCACTTAGGTATCAGAGACATGCAAATTAGGTAATGAGATATCCTTTCATACCTAGAAAATGGCAAATTTGTTTACCATATCTATAATCATTGTGTTAAGAATGTGGAGTCCAGGTAAAATAGTGTGTAACTATAATCCCAGCTATGTGGGAAGCCATGGCAGGAGTATCATTTAAGGCCAGTGTGACATTATCTCAAAAAAAAAAATTTTTTTTTTTTTTTTGGTGGAACCGGGGATTGAACTCAGGCCCTTGCGCTTGCCAGGCAAGTGCTTATTCCACTGAGCCATCTCCCTGGCCCCTCAAAAAAAAATTTTTAGTAAGAAATTTTAGTTTAATATGTAATCTAGGACAAAAGTTACTTTTAGAATAAAAATTCTGAAGCCCGGAAAGCTCTCTTTAATTTTTTTTTGGTATCAGGGATCAAACTCAGGACCTTGCACTTGTTAGGCAGGTGCCCAAGTCATTGAGCTATCTCCCTGGCTCCCAAAAAGTTCTCTTTAAAAAAAGAAATATTCCTTATTATGCCTAAGATGTTTGAAATGCAGTGAGATAGTGAGGTTAAGCTTGATA